CTGAATACTTTCCGTACCCACTGTAAGCCAAGAGGAGACTGGTTTTCCTTTGCTAAAGTAAGGAAACTTTGCTTCCTTTGATCCTGTAAACAAACGTTGGTTTTCGCGAGACTCACCGGCGCGTGCGCAACGCTGACCCCATACGTCATGCTCCCGGAACTGCTTCCGTGTACAACTGCTGGCGCAAGCTAGATTAAAGTAGGGCTGCACGATTAATCGAATGCGATTGTCATGCGCATTTTGTTTAAAAAAGTGGGTTCTGTAATCAGCAGGAAATAATCATCACGTGCTTTCAGATGGAGCAGAATTTACTACCAATAGCCGTAGTTCACTGACAAGTTATGCAAAAAAATTGCAGACAATTTTATTGCGCGATTCTGAAATCGAAGAAATCGTTCGTGATAATGATGTGAACTACGGCTCTGTGTAGTAAATGCTGCTCCATCTAAAAGCATGTGAAAATACCACATTTAATAACATAATGTCAGTCGAGTGTTTGAAATAAATCGTTCTGTGAGATGATGTGGCTTCTTACACAGAATAAGGCATGCAACATATTTTATAGTATTTAAGCAGTGATAAAGGCATTGCATTGTAAATATACTTTATTTTAATGAAAATGATAATAAGATAAGATAAACCGTATATTGCCGTAGTCGTGTGTTTATTAGTCACGTTGAATCAATGAAAGCAGTTGAATCTTCTGTTTATTCAGCTGCAGCGATAGGCATTTTCTGGGTTTTTTCTGCGAGGCGTATTTGGAGTTTCAGTGCGAGAGCGCCCTCTGGCTTTTGGATGGAGATTTACTGCTGATCACAGAACCGTGCATCACTGAAAGATACACTTCTGTCGAATCGCGATCTCTATTCAATTTCGATTTATCGTGCAGCCCTACATTAAAGTTATTATTACGTTTTGAATATGGATATTTTCTTACAAAAACGCATTGATTCACTACAGAAGGCCTCTGTTCACCCCCTGGAGCCGTGTGAGTTTTTTATTATTTTTTTTCTGGATGTGCGATTTTTATTTAACTTCTTTTGGATTTGCATGCAACACCCGCTGAGTGGCATTAAACGGCTTGAAAGATAAAATACAATTTTTAAAGGGGTCATATGATGCTTTTTTAAAGATTATTTGGTGTAACAGAATATGTTGACGTGCTTTAATGTTCAAAAAACACATTAATACTGTACATTATTGTAGGTCCTCTATGCCCCGCCTCTCTCAAACACGTAGTTTTCAACAAAGCCCCCTCCTTTGACAAGCGCAGTCTGCTCTGATTGGCCAGCTGACCCAGTGCATTGTGATTGCCCGAACACCACAAGCACGTGTCGGAAATGTAACGCCCCTTACCATAATCGCGAGCTACAGCTTTCAAAGTAAATATCAAGACAGTTAATAATGTCGTTAGTTTTACCATCAGTTCAAGCCCGAAAGGGCAACAGAGTCGCGTGACAGACACAGTGATGATGCAGTACACAAGCGCGGTTAAGACAGCTGACGTGCTATGATTTCTGACAG